GTGATAATAAAATCCAACACCACCTGGCTTTATTAAAAGGAAGAGGGAGTTGATGAACAAGAAGAGTGTGTTTTACTTTGATTTGCAGCTTATTTATTTATTTCTTCACCATGGAAGTTTTTTTCTGTTTGACAGTATGAACAAATAACTCATTTCATGAACACTAAGAAATTCTGCCATTTTAGCAACAAGGCATATTACATTTCTAAAGTCACCGTTAACATTTTGCGCTCAATCATGTGTTTGGTTACAAACAAATTATCTCAACAATGCTGAAACACAAACATGTGTTAATTTTACTGTTTTTAAACCAGAAATATAATTTCTGTGTGTTTTGTCTGGTTTAACATTGAGGTTGTTTCCTTTCCCATAAACTTATCCACCAACACTCCCCAGCTGCTGGAGCTTTGCTGGTTCAGGGTCAAAAGTACTGTGCTGGGAAGTTTATTTGCTAATAGATTACAGCTATGTAATTATGTGTTAAGCATGTGTCCTGCCAATTCTTAACCAACTACATTTACAGAAAATGTACATGTGAAAGATGAATTATATATATATATATATATATATATATATATATATATATATATATATATATGTATATATATATATATATATATATATATATATATATATATCGTGGCCTCCAGAATATACACTTCTAAGCACACAGTCACAAGCAGCGCTGTGTAATTGATGCCAGACGATCCGCTGCAAATCAAGTTCTGATTCTGACGGACATTTCAGCTGGCCTCCCGCTCTCTCTTTACTTCTTGCTCATAAATGTAACAAGGGTGGGACTTTAGCTGTGTGTCAGAATTATATTATAAAGAGTAGATGGAAAAAACCTTATTTATAGAGTGGGGGCAAATGTTTGTGTCCGGCCATTAACCATTAAGGGGCGTCAATTACCCATTAAAGAAATTTTGGAAAACATGCATCCCTATTCTTGATATTTTGACATCTTGCCTCTGATTGGATTAAAGCACCGCAACTTGACCACTAACTGCATTTGCTCAGGGACATGGATGTTTTATTTCCACAAATAACATGCCAGGAGGAGCTTAAGCCGTGTGTTTAAATTGCTAATGCTAGTGGTTAGCTTCTGTTGAAAGAGACTTCCTCTGCTGATTCTGGACGCTAAAACAACAACAGCCCTCCCTGTCGTTAGTCAATATGAGTAAGTTCAATACACAATGTGACGTGGAGCGGTCAGGCTTTTCAATTTCTAGATTTTCACCGTCTAATTTCTATCAGAAGCTAATGAAGAGATAGGTGTAAGAGACTATTTTCATGTTCAGTGTGCATAGATTCACCCACCATGTGGAGTTTTAGCTATTTTACTTCATATTTTACAAGTCAAAGCGCACTTGAAGTGAAAATCTGCAAGCTTGGCAGCGTGTTTACCTCAGTGATGGTTTTCTCTGACAGTTCCTGTTTTACTGTGACATTACCTCTGACCTCCTTGTTTCTTTATTTGTGTTGAATAATACCTGAAATGTGCATAACAACAGAGGGAAGGTGTATTTCACAGCAGCATCTGATCTTTTATTCATAACCCATCTCTGTCATTGGGCATCTGCTTTTCAATTCCCATTCATCAGCACATTATGATATTACTTTGTTTCTGCTCTCGCCGCACCGAGACGGGCAAAGAACGGCTTTCTTTTAAATACCTTAATCAGGTCAGACTGTGATATAATGACCCTAAATAAAGGTTTGCATATGCAGCTTTTTGTCAGACATAACAGAAAAATATTGAGTGATATGAACTCCTTGGCCTTTTCTTCATTCTTCATGAGGAGAAAAAACTGGACCATGATAAAATAAACATATGAGCTGCTAAATTTTCTGTGGTGAAACGTTAACAGTACAGCTGGGTCTTTAATTTACTGGCTCAGTTTAACATTTATAGACGAGGTGAAATGCGATAAAGACTCCCCTCAAACTTTATGCTCAGATTTCTTCCACATATCCATGATGCTCACCTTGGAGTTTTACAAAGAGAAAATCAGACACAAAGCAGCAGTAGTAGGTGTTGATTTAACACAATGAAGTTCTTTAAATTCCCTCAGATTCTTTCTGTCCTTGGACTGAAAACAGCTTGGGTTCACACAAATTTCATTAACTGTAAACATAAATAAACTTTTTCATTTCCTGAAATGATTCAATTTTAGAAACACAAGTGATTTGCTTGACATCAACTTTAAAATATTTTACTAGAAGTGAGGAAGCCATGACTAAAGCATTCAGAGCATTCTCTGAACAAAAGCACATCACTTACCACTTGATGAAGTTGAGATGAGATAATGGAATGGCGGCCATTTTTGTCAGATAATCATGCTAGATTTTTTGCAAACCGACTTGTGTGTTACGCATGTCTCTTGGCTACCTCAACGTCAAAATATAGCTCAATATTTATTTGTTTTTGCTGATGTCTGTGGCAGTCATTTTTCATGGAATCAACTCCAAAGTTACGCAGTTGTAGACATACAGCCTTTGAATAGTTCATGGATGTTTCATGAAAAACTGTCCAGAGGTTTACGAGGACTCTTAGCGTTCAGCTGTCAGTCCGGGAAAAAAGTATAGGACCAGTATCTCATAATAACGAGAGTTCCTTGTCATTACAAGAATCTTGTTTTAACGAGAAATTAACTCGTGATAATAGCATTAAAGTAGTTTTAATGAAGAAGATAGTCTGTTGCCTTAGCAACAGGTTATGCGCAAGTCGACAGGGATTAGAGCTATTAAGTGTAATTATTCGATTTAAAGAGTAGGTTCACTGAGAAACATTTTTTTTAACTTATATTTTACAGTTACAACAATTCTCGTTACCATGAGATATTGAAGGCATTCTTTCTTTTTTGTTTACTTTTTAACCTGTCTTGTCCTGGCAGTTGAAGCAGACAGAATGGTTGATCTGGGTGCCATAACAGGCCAGAGGGTTTTTCTACGGCAAAAGGGATGCGGGATATTACTCCTTTTGCGCAGTGGCCTTTATTATGTTTGTGGCATGTTAGACCGCATTCACTTACACACTGGAGTGGACAGGCAGAGAGAAAAGAGATATACAACACACAACAAATAAACAAAAATTACAGAGTGGGGTCATCATAAAAAATCTAAAGAATGAAAGAAATAGGGACTGGTATTTGGTGTTGTCCATATATGAGGAGGTATGTACATCTGTGTGTGTGCATCAATATCTCAGTATATTCATGTGTGTGCTTTTTTGGGTAACTAGTGTGTGTGTGAGTGTCTAAGCTGTCTTTGTGTGATGCACTATTTGTGTGTGGGTGTCTGTGTGTGGATTTGTCACCATGAATGCTGTTTAGTTTTTGTAATTAATTTTTTTCAGTTTGTTTTTTAATATGATGAGGGAGGGGCTGGCCCATGACAGCCCAGGTCCACCAGCGCCAGAGTCCAGGGCCACACACGCCCCAGCAGCCTATAGAAACCAAAGGACGGACATCAGTCAGCCAGCCCAGAGGACAGATCCAAGACCGGGGGGGTGGGGTCTGCTAGAGGACATCAGGGCAAAAGCCCCCAGCCAAAAGGAGCTCATTTGGGGCCACCAGGCCTTGAGTGCCCTGACCCCCCCCCCCCCCCCCCCCTTCCGAGTACTGATTATTTTTATTCTTGCATTGCCAGCAGAACACTTCCATATTTTGCTAATATAGGCATAGAATTTTAACATTTCATACAATTTAATAAAAATCACGTTTCAGAAAGCAGCTGAAGCCAAATGAAGGAAGCCAGAGGTTAAAACTGAAGCAGCATTGAAATAAATTAGATTTTCTGTGAATCACCTGAGTTCTGTGAAGTCTTTGTGAAATGAGAACAACATTAAAAATGTGTTTCTATGTTTACAACCTTAATTTAGTGACAAGGCTCTGAAGGGGTAGACCAAGGGAAAATTTTGCCTTCAAGCTCACCGGTCCCTCCACGGCTCTGCTGATGGCCTGTAATCGCTGCTCAGCACTGCTGTGGAAAGGCTGCAGCTGCAGGGTGGCTCCTCTGGCTGCCTTTCAGCATGTCACCAGTTTGTGTGCCTCATAATGGCTTGTCCACTCCATCCTTGAAGAACAGTCAAGTTGTACACTGGTGGCTTAGCCAGTGGGCTTTTACGCAGCAGGGGAGCAGAGGAGTGAAAAAAAGCATTGACTTTCAGTGCTTTATTTGAAGAAGAAAAAAACTATGTAAAAATATGAGCTTAATATATTTTGTAGCAGAGTTTGCACATAATGAATGTGTGCTTTTCAAAATTCTGTTATGGACATTTTACCCCCCCCACCCCCCCCCCCCACCCCCCACCCACCCACCCAAAGAAAAATCGCTGCTCAAAAAACAAATGTGTAAAGACAGATTATATCTCTATTCCTCATTTCATCACTGTAAGCATGGCGTTTTCCAGAAAGAGGCTCAGACTCTCCCACACTGGACGGATGGACCCTGAAGCTCAGTCAGGGCAGTTGCTTGCAGTCGTTGGTACCCCATAGGGGGCACTGTTGGCTCTCATGAAGTCTCCTGGCACAACAGGTTGCTCTTTCTGCACGAACTGAAGGCTGAAATGATCAAATTAAACAATCATGATTACTCTTTCGTCTGCAAGCCCTTGCCATCTGAGCTTATAGGTATAAATCTAACTTTCTGGATCAATTTACTTCATTATTACACCTCAAAGGTAGTTTGCCACGAAGCTGCATGTGCGTAAATGTATGTTTTTTGTTTTAATACCAAACAGATAGGGGATGATGTTTCTGTTTAAAATGTAACTGTCGTTTGCTCCATCCAAATTAAAATGTAATCAAACCCAATGTTGGTTGTTTATTTCCAAATCGACAACTTTCCTTTGGTAACTGATTGGAACACATGCGTAATTTCTTCTTAAAATGTGAAATGAGCGTTTTATGGTACAGTGTTCTGCATAACCCAGCCCCGAGCGCGCGCCCCATCCCCCTCTTCTTATCCTCCTCCTCCTCCTCCCGGTACCCCCTCCCCCTTCCAGCTTCCGCACCAGCATCCAGAGCCACGGGGGTGCGGAGTGGCCACGGCGCAGGAACCACCGCGTCTCCATACCTGAGCTTTCCTCCGTCGAGTGGAAAGTTAGGACCGTATTTCAGGCATCATGTGGCTCTAGATGAAGGTGGAGAAAAGAAAGAACAAAGCAGGAAAGAGCTGCGACTGTCCGGATAACTCTTTCGATTTCTAACTGGGATTTTATTTTACTTGGTTTACTTTTGTCCTGAAGCTGATTTGTTTAGAAGTCCCGTGCCTTTATCGGCAGGAAAAGCGCTGTGCCGTGTTCTGAGGAGGAGGAGAAGCGGTAAGGGGCAGAAACATCCCTGCATCACTTTTTTACAGGCTGTTGATTTACCGCTCTTGTTTTAATTATTTGTTTCTTACACGCGCATAATGCCTTACATCCGATACTTTACGTGCTTCCGTGACTGTTTATTTCTCACATCCTGTAGCTCCTAGAATAAACACTTAAATAAACACGATATGAACTAAAATTATCTTCCTAGATATAAACTGAGTAGGAATATTTTATCTTTAATTGGATTCATAATTGTTCTGGATCAAACTGGAACTTCCCTCCACGTTTGGAGAATGACAATTAATCGATTGTTTGCACTGTTCGTGGCAGGTGGTGTCGCACCAAGTTAGTCTCAGATGGAGCTGCGCTCAGGGCGGATGAACTGTGTGCAAAGTAACGCTGCTCTCCGTTGACCGTTCGATTTCTCCTGAATAAACCCAGTCCCTGGAGCGAGAGAGGGAGTCATGGGGCCGCGCCAGTGCGTGGGACTCACCGCGCTCTTCCTGTGCTCAGGTAAGCGCCTCCACCCTCCTCTCCACCTGCCCCGTAACATCAGCTTCTGCTCAGCTGAACCAGATTTATGGAAATGAAAGCTAATGGTCGTGAAATAAGAGACGCTGTAAATACATCAACCTTTCCTGAGTGATTTCATTCAGCGTGGAGCATACTTAATGAAATGCAAATTGTATCCTTTCAGCCAACAGCACATATATAATTTATGAGACATATAATTAGCTGTAAGCTGTTGTGGCAGAATACAAAATGACTTGTAATATTAACATGAATGAACTGTGACAGTTCTCTGGTATAGGGAGTGTGTGGGTATGGGTTCGCAGCACTGTGACAGCACTGTGTGTGTGTGCATGTGTGTGTGTGTGCGTGTGCGTGTGTGTGCGCGGCCTCATGAGACTGCAGATCACCATAACAGGTTGCAGTCACAAGCAAGAAAAGAAGAGGTATTCTTTTCATCAAGTTTGCACAAGTCTGCAACAAAAACGTGTGTATGTATGCATCTACAGGTAGTGTGTTTGGGTTTCCCCTAATGGTGTGTATTCTGCAGTGGGAAAGTCCAAGTTGCATGCAGTCATGCGAATAAATGAGAAAAAAAATACATAAATATGATGAAACGTTTATTCTTTATAAGCATAAAGATATAAAATGTCTTCTTTAAACACATGCTGTTAAAAGACGAGAGGCTTTAGGTATTTATGAATATTTTTAAAGTCTTTTTACAGAAATCTGAGAATTCAGCATTTTTGTAGAATTTTTGTGAAGTTTTCCATACAAACAAGAAGTTCAATTCTTCACCAGACAAACATTATCTGACTTCGCTGTACAATTTGTACAATTCTGATGAATTCAACGCACAATATTTTCTTGTGCTTTAGAAGACAGCATGGCCATTTGTGTAGCAAGATAAAGTTGTAGCTGGATCTCAGTTATTGGATAATGGTTACATTTTAATTGCTTGATATCATAATAACAGACATCACCCCGCAGTGATCTGATTCCTTGACCTATACTGTCCATGGTTATATGTAAGCTGTGCTGTTTGACACAAACTCTTGGAGGAATGACTTGGAGGCAGATGAAGGAGTTCAGCAATAAATGAAAATATTGTGATCACCAAGATTAAAATCTTACAGTTAGTTTCACTTTGACTCAACATCATTTCAGACAAAACACTCCATTTTACAGTCAAAAAGCAGTCAAGCAGGAATATTAAAAGTTTGTCCTGCAATTTGTGGTTGTTTATATCTTTAGATCTGTTTTACTCATTATTGTTCATGATTTGTAAGCATCTCACCTCTGATTGGGTAACAGCATTGCAACTCTTCCGCAGCTTTCTTTGCTCTTCTGCCTTGAGTAAAAAAATTAACCATGTTTGATCTCCACAAATAACACACGCCTGAATGAGTTCTGCTGTGTTGTGGAGTTGCTAATGCTAACGGTTAGCTTCTAATAGCCGAAATGCGCTCTTCTTTCTCCTGAAAACTAAATTAACAACAGCCTTCCCTGTCAGGAGCCAAGATGTATGAGTCCATGAAAGATAATTTCCAGTGTGACGTAGATCTGTCTGTCTTTTTCTGACCGAGAGTTTCCACGTCTATTTTCTTTCAGCGGCTAAAGCAGAAAATAAGGTTTGAAAACTATTTTCATGTTCAGTCTGCATGTTAAACTTGGAGTGACGAGTCCTATATCAAAAATAACAAGTAAAAGTTGCTCGGTGAACCTCCTCTTTCAACAAAAGTTAAAGAAATCAATAAAGAGCATTCACAAATGGAGACATTTTTATATTTGGTTGTTAATGATTTTGCAGTAATGATACAACCCCTTATAATCTGTGTAGATAAACTGGCTCCCTACACTTTGATCTGCAACAAAAAATCACATCCATTGATTTTTGTAACTTTAATGTAATTTTGTGTGCAGTCTGCAAGTCAGTTCTGTAAAAATCAGCAGAAATGTAATCTGACATCCCTGTGCCTGGGACACAAAATTAGAAATGTTCTAAAATTTGAATTCTACATGATTTTCTAAATATATTTTTTCTTCCTGCAGTTTATTTAAAGTAATCCTTGATCCAGGATAAGTAAAGAAATCTGAGCTCGACGGGTCCTTGCCAGACCATTCTCACCTAAACGGTTTCAGAAGCTAGTGCTAGGCTAGGCTGAGAAGGAGCATGCACCTAAAGTCAGTTATCTCAACAACCATGGATTTACAGGCCAATTTGCATGTCTAACATGGACAAAAGGCATTGTAACTGACACAGTGACATTCATTGTCACTTTAATTATAAAAATAGTGATGATCACAGTTAAATTACAAAAAGAAAAATTACATTAAATTGATTTGTCTTCTTTATGTGGATGGATGGATTGATGGATGGATGGATTTCTTGTTTATATTGTCAGACTGGATGAAAGCATGGAGGAGAACGCCATCCAGGATTAACAAAACCTGACTATCAGCTTGATTTTGAGAAGATCTTTGTGAAGCCAAATCCTGTATTGTCTTAGTACTTGTGGCCTAGTAGCATAAGTGTCCGATGTCCCAGTCGGGTCATACCAAAGACTTCAAAAATGGGACCCAATGCCTCCCTGCTTGATGCTCAGCTTTAAGGGGTTGGATTGGGGGGTTAAACCACCAAATAGTTCCCGAGCGCAGCCACAGCCGCAGCCGCAGCTCACTGCTCCCCACGGGGATGTCAAATGCGGAGGTAAATTTCACCAGTATGTGATTATTAATGGGACTTTAATGTATCCTCACCTGTTCTTTATTTGCCACCAACTTCTCAGTAAACTGCAGGGTACTGTTGATCACTACCAAATAAATGTATTCACCCTTTCTCACATTTTCTTCTCTTAACATGTATTTCTTTCTTTCTTTTTTATTTTTTTTTTTTGCTATTTACCTGCTTTTGGTGCTCATTGAATTCCTTTCTCTGAAGAATAAACAGACTCTAGTTTTCCATCTGTCTGTCTCCGGTGACTCCTGCAATTTGGATCTTCTTCATCATGCCCCCTTCTTCATGGTAATATCAGTGATCAGATGGGTAGAGAGAGAATCACTGAAATGTTTTCAAACGATGTTTGTGCAAATAAAAAGCCAAGAGGGGAAAATCTGTAAAGATAACTCGGTACTATTAAATAAGAAAAATAAATAATAATAACTGTTTGGAAAAAATAAATCAAAAGTATCACCTGAAAAGTGGGGAATGGACTTCATATCAGCCATGTTTGTTTGTATGTTAAATTGTGTCTAATATATAGATACATACATCTATTTTTGGCCACTTATCCGGGGTTGGGTTGTGGGGGCCGCATTGTTATTTAAAATGAGTTTTGTTGCACTCTGTTTGCGTTGGCTAATTAGAAGTTATTTAAAGGGATACTCTGAAACTTTTTCACATTTTTAAATCATTTTCATGAGCCAGTAATTGCTAAAATGACTCTTTACAGGTTTAATGAAAACTCACTCACACCCCACCTAGGACTGGGCAAAACAATTACTTTTGTAATTGATTATTCTAGCGATAATTTTTTCGATGCCTCAGTTATTCTAATGATGAATTTGTCAATTTGGTTAGATTTTGATTTGATTCGATTATCGATTATTTCCCCATTATTTGACTTGTATTGCAGTTTGACTATTACTAATGTATGTATCTCAATGAAATAAGAACACATTTTTTCATTCAAACACATTTTAATAAAAAAAAATCAAAAATAAAGTTGTAGTAGTAGATGGTGCAACTTAGATGTATAACATCAACAATCTGGAGGAGCATGAACTATGAAAAAGAAGTTCAAACAGGATGAGGGATTGCACTTAACAATCAAGAGTTTGTTGTCATTTGCAAGCACTTCAGCAATGTTGGAAGTGTCCACGATGGCCGCGTTTAGCAGGTGGTACATTATCTTTAACATTTTTACCGCGGCCAATTTGCGCTCTCTCCCATTTTTGGCTCTCGCCTACTCTCATAATCAGTATGTGCGCATTCCGAACCATTTTGCCAGAGTGGGCCAGAAGTAAAAACCAACAAAACAGATAACAGCTGCTGCTATTTGTTACTGCTAGCAGCTTAAATGAGTTGAGATTGAGTGTTTCTCTGTGTCTGTGTGTGAGAGTTTGTGGGTTTGCTTGTGTATGTGAGTGAGTGGGCTGTGCAGTGGCGCAGTGGTTAGAGCTGTTGCCTTGCAGAAAGAAGGTCCTGGGTTCGCTTCCCGGCCTGGGATCTTCCTGCATGGAGTTTGCATGTTCTCCCTGTGCATGCGTGGGTTCTCTCCGGGTCCTCCGGCTTCCTCCCACAGTCCAAAAACAAGACTGTTAGGTTAATTGGTCTGTCTAAATTGTCCTTAGGTGTGTGTGTGTGTGTGTGTGATTGTTTATCCTGTGTGTCTCTGTGTTGCCCTGCGATGGACTGGCTCTCTGTCCAGGGTGTACCCCTCCTGATTGCCCGTTGACCGCTGGAGATAGGCACTAGCCCCCCGCGACCCTGCGTGGACAAAGCGGGTTCAGAAAATGGATGGATGGATGGATGTGAGTGAGTGAGTGCATGCCTCCATGGGGGTGTTTGGATGGTAAAAACAGTGTTATAAAAAGTAGAAAAATTACGGTGTTTTTTCGTTTGCAGAAGCTGCTCCTGGATCCCGTCGTTTGAGGTGCTGGTGCATGGCCGTCGTGCTTTTGTGATAGGCCATTTCCATTTAATAAAGCCAGCAAACGACTGAATCGCTTCCTTTTCTGTTGAAATAGTCCCATACTTCTGAACTGCGAGGTCGAGTTGAGTGATTTAACCCTCTCAGGCTCAAAGCAAGTTCTGATAACAGGATGAACAACTAAGTCCTTCAGGGGTACTTCTGAGTTAAAAAATGCTCATGAAATACGTATGTGGAGTAACCAGGTAAGTAGGTTTTAATGTTGCAAATCTGCAACGCCTGCCTTCAGAGGGTTAAGTCGACTGCCTCTCTCATGTTGCCACTACCGCTACTCGCTGCCGCCATGTTTGT